ATATTTTGGAGTTGTAGAACTTAGTATCTGTGTCTCAGTCTCTCTGTCCTAGGACACATTTATGTCATTTCTACGGAAGTGTCCTCTCGAATTCCCGAGGTATAAAATACAAATGTACCTCAGCATCTCGCGTTTAACCTTCTCTTTCATGCATCTCAGTATTTGCGATCGCAAATTCTCTCTTGGGTAACTTTGTCCAGCCCCGGGTTCTCGGATTTTCTATTTAAAATTTTGATGCGCTACTGCTTTATGCTTTAGTTTTTATTCACCGAGTGCACCGAATGACTAAACAGGTAAATAACACAACATGGGAAGAAGCTCAAATATCATTGGAGGGCGTCTTTAACGAGTCCAAATTACGCCATTTGGCGTCAAGTAGTGTGTTGCAAATGAATGTGGGCATTGTCTCCTTGAAACGTTATGACCGGTGCAAGCTAGCGGGTTAATCTGGGCCTTTGGCTTACCCAAAAGCACGAAGCAACCACAAATACTTATGCTAGCGATATGTAGCTCCTTTACTGCCCTTTATTTTTGAGAATTCTGTGAAATAAACCATGAAACGGAACATTTCATGATTAAGCATTCTTGCCACGAATTACCTAACACTTCTCTGTCGATATCATTTATTTTTAGTTGAAATTACGCGATCTGTTAGTCGGGTGAAATTGTAAGATGGTGGGTCAGTTGCTCAATCATTTTTAGAAAATTAGGTCGTAGAGATTGAAGTCGATTAAAGAACTGTTCGTGTCAGAAAGCACGTCGATCTCTGAAGCTGATAAATGACTAACTTTACATGCCATGATGCGCCAGGGCAAACTGTATCTTCAAGTTCTTCGAAGACCAAAGGACTTCAAAATATCAAGGAAGCTATTTTGACGGGACATGAACAAATTTAAACAATTACTACAACTTTTGAACATGATGTCACAGAAATTTGAACAAAAAATGAATGCCGTTTACAACCCCCTGTAACGCCGAATGAGAGAGCACCGCTTGAAGAGGAGGAGCGAGGGTACTAAAGGTCACGTGTTCTCGGGGGGGGGGGGGGCGGGGGTCACGTGACCCGGTGGAGGGCTCACGTGACCTTGGGAGGGGGGGGGTCACGTGACTCCCCAGGTCATGTGACCCCCCAGAGAAATTTTTCATTTTTCCGCTAGATTTAGTGGGGAACATTTTCCGCTAGATTAAGGGGGTAAATCTACCCATAATGCACCGCGCGGTTGCCCCGACAGCGACAACGATGCCGCCGCCGCTCAAGCCGGAAACGGGCACCTAAGAGCTGCGCTCTAAAACTATCTTCAGTTTTCCTGACGTCAAACGCCGTAATAGTGCTTTAGTGTGATGGTAGACGTCGAAATAGCAAATAACTATGGACATATCTTTCGTATGTGACGAAATATGTGTTCAAAGTAGTTTTCCAATTCTTTTGAACCCGGATGTCGAAGTAGTCATTAGACTCATTACCTAAACAAAAAAAAAAAAAAGGCATCTCAAATCGTGTATGTTAAGACCTTTCCGGTGACATGTTCGATATTCGCGAGGGAGAGCAACACTGGAGATGCAGATTTACGAGTTTGTGGTCAGGGGTAGAAAAGCAAAGGCCCACAGTCCTGCAGGACTGCAGGACCCCAACAAACCAATGTTGCTCTAGGCTTGACAGTTTATAACAACAATGATTTTCGGGTTTAAAAAAATCCAGTACCCAGCAAGCGATCCCACAGCTCAGCGCACGCATATCTACCGCTTCAGAAACTAAGCAAATCACGGGTCATACGCTCGAACACTGATTACATCACCGGCCAGAAACGATGTATCAAAGCCGTGTTCGTGAGATCCCCTCTGCCGTGTGGAAGTCTTCACGGCTTAACTTTTTGCTCTTTTTCCGGAATTTTTCTTCTCCGCCTTTATTGTTACCATCTCTGTCGTCTGCTTTCTTAATGCGTGAGCACTACCTGGCTCAGTCAGCGAAAAAGCTGTCGGCAAAGTCCGTCGTCAAAATCCGTGACTTCTCCAACACAACTTAACAACAATATATAAAAAAAAGAACTCTGGTCACGTGATATCTCTGGTCACGCGACGTATCTGGTCATGTGACCAAACAAAAAAAAAATCTGTAATAACGTGGCCAAACCAAAAAAAAAAAAAAAACTCTGGTCACGTGACCTCTCTCGTTACGTGAGCATGAAACCATCCTGGTTTCGAACCCAGGCCCTCTTGATCGTGAAACTAGTGCGCTATCTGTTCCGGCAACACAATTTTTTTTATTATTAAAAGTATATCTACTTACAAAGTTTTAAAATGATCACATTGGTTGCCATACACTTATCATATCAGTGAGCACTGTTTGACAAACGAGGACCGCGATTTACACACAAATTCAAAATATATCTCGCTCAATCATTTCTTTGTAGCGTCACATGCACCGCATGCAGCCACTCGCGCAGTGGCCCGGGAATCCTTGTTTACCACTGAGCCCTTAGAGCGCGGTTATGCATACGCGTTCCAAATAGCGACCAACATTCAAGCCCTTGTTGTTCCGTCGCCTCAAGAAGGCTGCTCACGTACAGAAAGCCGTCGCAGAAGTGGCTGCCACGTGGGCTTGGATCCCTCTCGGACCTCCAAGTGATCCGTCCTGGACCGCCACAGCGCATATAGACCGAAAAGTGCCAGCAGCTCCCATGCCCTACTCCGTGCACTGTCGCCGAAAAGCAGAAATTTCGCGGGCAAAGCTAGTGCTCACGCACTCTCACATCATAAGAGAAAGCTAAAATGTCCTCGTACTTTTTTCTTGCCTGTACTTATTTCACACCACTTGCCTGTACATATTTCACACCAAGATATGAAACGAGTCAAGATATCCAATATTGGAGCTCTTGACGCGTTGGACCGCTTGACACATCGAGGCACGAGTCAAGAGTTCCTATATGGGTCAAGAGGTCCAACGTGTCAAGAGGTCTAACGAGTCAAGACATCCCGGCGAGTCAAGAGGTCCGACGCGCCCGGAGTTCCAACGGGTAAAGAGGTCCAATAGACCCCTTTCGAAATTCCCGTGCCGATTATTAGAAGGTCGGAACCCCTGCACAAGGGCGGAACAACACACATCGTGACGCGTGCGAGTCATTCCATAAAATAGCGAACGTCAGAGCGCAGTCAATGCTAGGAGTCGACGAGCCAGTCAAACAGCGTTGAAAGTGCAACGTCACTGCGCTCATCGCCTTTTCCTGGGGGTCTGTTTTTTCTTCTGCTTCAACCAAACGCATGAAGTGTGCCGTGACGTTGCGTTTTTAGTCCGCCATTGTGCAGGGATTCCACAGCTGCCAACAGAGGGAAGTATTTAGAAAGGGGTCTATATTGGACCACTTGACTCGTTGGACCTCTTGACGCGTTGAACCTCTTGACTCGGAATCGAAAGGGGGAGGGGAGGGGGGGGGGGGGGGGGTTGGAGAGCTCTTGGTTCAAATTCCTGGGAGATTGTTTGCGTTGCCCCCCAAAGGGCCAATTTTGGGCTGATCTCTATCGGTGGTGCTCCTCGTGTTTTCGGCCGTCTTGTCCTGAATCTCGTGTTCCAGGTCATCGTCCGTCGTCCGCCGCCAATCGCTCCTTATCCCAAGATTCACAAAACACATTCCCCGTTTGCGAAAGCTGCTCCTGCAGCCAGCAGCTTAGTTCCGAGACCAGAGTACCCAATAATCTCACCAGCCAGTATAGGTGCCTGGAACCATAGAGTTATTATGATGTACGCTAGAGGTTTAACTGGCTCTAGTGTGCTGTCGAAAATTTAAGCGGAGAGCAACCAGTCGGAAATTCACTTCTGGTAACGCTATTCTATGGGAAAAAGCCAGCGCATTTTCTCCCTGCGCTTGATAATAACAGCAAATATCACAAATAATCCGTACGTACTAGATAGATTCTAACATTTCTGAATCACACAGATTAAAACATTTAGCAGTTATGGCGTCTTTATTTCCGATTTGTGGCATTAAAAACGGTGCTAAAACGGCTTCGTACATGTATTTACGTGCACTGTCGGACACTGGTAGCGCGAACACGTTTTCGGCGCTTTCCAGCATGGGGGAGACCAAGAGAGACGGCAATAACAACGCAGTAACACGGGATCGGTAACTCCTTTTACATGCAAACGATCAAAATTAATTGAAGGCCGGGTAGTATAATTCGATTTGCAATAAGTACTGCTTCATTCTGCTCATGCGCGAAGATGCTTGTTCGGCGTTCAAAACATCACCCGCACGCTCGAAATCCTTGAAAATAGAAAAAAAAAAACCTGATAAATGGTGTTCGATAAAAGCTGCCCGGCATAGGAAATAATAAAAAGACACACCTTTCATAGCTCATACTTTATTCTTTACGTCTTGAATGTTTTTAACCGCTGGTTAAGATGCACGATGGGGAAGGACGACGAAGTTTGCCGGCTAAGGTACACATTTTCTTGTGCTCCCGGAATACTGGTGTTCTAATATTATTTCTTGCGCTGGAACATTACATCCTTGAATCGACAGGTGAAGTAGCGGGCACTCTATCTGGGGCCAGACTTTCTCTGTGAGGAGAAATGTCCTCGCTCAGAAACGATGCCCCCAGCACCGACGATGGCCAAACACCCGACATCAAGACCGTACAAGACACCGCAGTCTCGGCTTTCATTGACAACAGCCCACTGCACTCTGACCCAACTGGCGAATTTCCTAACTTGGAGGCTATGGAGATGGACCAGGGCAATGACCAACGAGGCCCATGGCAACAAGCTGGAGGAGGCCGAAAACGTGTCCGAAGCAATGACTCGAATTCCAACCTCGAGACAATATCTTCACCAAAACACGATGACGTCAGCCTTACTGTTGTATTTGCTCCGGTGGATGCTGAGCAGAAACTGACTTCCCTTACCAGACTCAAGGTGACAGACGCTTTAAGGAAGATATGCCCAGAGTGTATACACGAAGTTCGCTACAACGATCGGCTCAACCTCATCGCAGTTGACACTCGAAATGGGCAAACTACGAAAACATTGCTCAACACCACCGTTCTCTGTGGGATTCATTGTTCGGCCATATGCTCCACCGTCCGGCCAAACTTCCATCGGAGTCATCCATGACGTCGACACAGAAGTCACGCAAGAAGAGCTAATCCAACACATTCGATCAGAAACAAAAATTGCCACTGTGCGCCGCCTCGGAGTCTCGAAGGTCGTCAAAATAGTCTTCAGTGGTACGAGGCTGCCTAGCCACGTCCTACTTGGCTATGTTCGACATCCCGTTGTTGAATTCAAGAACAGGCCGCTGCAATGTCACAACTGCGGTGGATTCGGACACAAGAAGATTGCATGTAAACGCCCTAAGGCATGCAATCGCTGTGGAGAAGATCACGATGTGCAGTCTGCAGAGTGTCAGTCAACGACACTGAAGTGCAGCAACTGCGGTGGCAGTCACGAGGCCACATCGCGCACGTGCCCCAAATGGAAAGAAGAGCAAACCATTGTAACGCTCTCAAAGAATAACAATATAGGATTTCGAGAGGCACGGTACGCCATCGTACATAAAAGTGCAGGCAAAAATACTGTGGACGTTCTGGAGACCACACCAAAGCCAATCACGACAGCTACCACAAGCCAGGCACTGCAGGCAACAAGCAGGACGGACATACAAAACAAAGTGTCTTATGACTCGATCCTCAAAGGGACAGTTAAAAACAAGAAGGCTGCCCCAAATACCGATTCCGCGGCCAGTCGAACGTCGGACAACAACAAATCTATGCATCAGCCAACATCCCACGCAGAAACGTTTCAAAGTTCCCACACGAAGAAGTCACCTCCAAGGAAGGATGAAACTGAAGACTCTCGAAACATCGACAAAGAAACATACGGCTGGCAATCGATTGTCAGAGCAGCCGTCAACATTGCGTTCGCACTCTTAGCGAAAATCGATGCATCATGGGCTAGCACCATCTCAAACATCTTACACACGGTCCTCCCACTTCTGGGAGGATGGTAGTGGGACCCTCGTATCCAAATATAAGACACGATGCACAAGGAAATCACTCTCAACACAGGACTTCAAAAACGCCTCAGCAACCTGGAACTTCACGAAGGGGGCGTGGTCCGATATTTCCCTCAATTTTGCAGTGGAACGTAAACGGACTGCGAACACGCATGTCTGAACTACGCCAATTTCTTTCAAACAAGAAAGTCGACATCCTGGCTCTACAAGAAACTAACGTTACATCCGGGGATGTTCGTCTCTCACCGTACGTATTGATTCACAGCGCTGCGGTGAACCTCAATGGCAGATCACGAGTCGCCCTATTTGTTCGTGCAAGCCTACACCATGCTTCACTGGACCTTTCTGACCTCTGTTCGCCGTCTGAAGAATATGCTGGAGTCACAGTCAGAATTGGCCGACAGGAAACGACGGTTGTGTCAGCATATATTACATCACAGGGAAGCTGGGACCCGACCACCATTGAAGAAATCTGCAAGAGAAGCCGAGGCAATATTATTATCTGTGGGGACTTTAATGCGCATAACCAGCAATGGGGAGGCTCTCGAACGGACACCAGAGGACGAAAGATCGAAGCAATGGCAACAGCACTTAATCTCCGTATCATAAATGACGGTTCAGCAACGTTCTGCAGGCCAGGAACTACAACAAGCACTATTGATATAACGCTCGTTTCGCCTGATATTGATGCCATATGGACCACCGAGCCTGACACAGCAGGTAGTGACCATTTTCCTATAAACGTGGTCCACCCCAGTGCTTCTCCGAGAGAACTTAAGACATGCAAAGTGATAAACTGGGATCTATTTCGTCAAAACTTCGCATCCGCCATGGAAAATATTACCCATCCGAATATCTCGGCTTGCATCGCAGAGTGCCTAAAACAATCCTCACGGACCGTTACGATCCCGGTCACCAGCCCTACACCTGACCTTGAGTGGCTTAACCTGCGAGCTGCCCGACATCAAGCGCAACGAAGAGCACTTCACACTGATGCCCCCTGGGACTGGTCACGGTACAATCGCATAGATGCCTCTTTCAGACGACACACCAAAAAACTTCAGAGATGGCAGTGGAGGGGAGACTGTGCCGCACTTGGCGGTCCCGGTGGAGGACGACGGGCTTGGCGCCTCGTTCGAGCCCTCAAAGGAGCGAAAATTCCGCGACACCCTGTAGCAGAAGTTGCCATAAAAACTGGTAGGACCATGGCGGAAGTGGCAGAGCTTCTGGCAGATGAATTCGCCCGATCATCACCTCAACCTGAGCAATACCTCCAAGACTTGCTGAAACTGAACCCATCGATCGCTCAACCCCAAGACAGGGAGTCAGAACTAGCAAGCAACACTGATCTAACGACAGCGGAACTCACATATGCGCTTCATTTCTCCCGCAGAAAGAGTGCCCCAGGACCGGATGGGATAACTTACCAGTCACTTAGAAATATCGATGCTACATACCATCCGGTTCTTCTGGAACAACTCAACACCATCTGGCGAACTGGGACCATTCCACAAGCATGGAAAGAATCGACGATCATTCCTCTGCCAAAACATGGGAAGCCACCGGAGCTTGTCTCGTCATACAGGCCTATATCGCTGACAAGCTGTCTGGGGAAATTACTTGAGCGCATTGTCATGCGGCGACTTACCTGGGTTTTGGACCATAAAAATGTTTTTCCATACCAAATGGCAGGCTTCAGGACACGCAGGTGCACCGCCGATGCGATTGGAGATCTTGTTTCAACCTTTGAAGCAAAAGCTGCCAGACAAATGGTTCATTGTGTGTTTCTAGACATCAGTCGAGCATTCGACACGCTTCCTCATGCCATCATCATTCAGAGGCTAAAGTGCTTTGGGATACATGGCAGGTTGCTGTCTTTTATTCAAGCCTTTTTGACTGGACGAAGCTATAGAGTGAAAGTGCCAGGTGCAACAAGCACTCCCCGTCTAACAACGCAAGGAGTCCCTCAAGGGAGCGTGCTCAGCCCCTGGCTTTTTAATGTTGCAATGGCCTCTCTACCTCGATGTTTCCCAGCCATACATCACACTTATACCGATGGTATGGCAATATACGCGGATGACGTCGCAATATGGTGTGCTGGACCCTCGAAGAACGCTATGGCAATCCGAAACCGGCTTCAAGTTGCTTTGGATGCAACAGCCCTAGCTATCTCACATCTAGGTCTGACTCTATCATCTGAAAAGACAGCCTCAATTCTTTATAGACCAACAGGCCGTGCTTCAGAACAAGCACTGAGACTGACAATCGGAGGAACTCTGGTAAAAAGGGTTACAAACCACACCTACTTGGGCATGATTATAGATGACCGTGTGACCTGGAGGCCAGAAGTTCATAGAACTCTACAGCGATGCCGTGAGCTTCTACGTGTTCTCCGATACCTTGGAGGTGCTTCATGGGGAGCACCACAACGATCAATGCTACAGTTGTACAAAGGCCTTATAATGTCCAAGCTTTTATACTCCCTGCCACTTCTAAGAATAGCGCCGGCCCAAATGCGCGACATTGACATATTTCACCGTATAGCACTGCGTGTCTGCTTGGGGCTGCCACCATCTGCCGAAAATCTGGCGACTTTGACAGCAGCAGAAGAATGGCCACTCTCTTTGAGACTCAAGGAAAGAGCTATGCGGCATATTGCCCGAATCAACAGCGTCCCCACAAAAGATAACATTCTTACCCGCCTTCTAGAACGACCAAACTCTCAGCTGGGACAACTGGCATCTCTATTTCAACATGAGATTGGTGGTCCTGGAGAATACTTGACTTCCACGCCTCCGCACTCAACCCGCTTACCCCTAGTCATACATGAGACTCTACCAATCGGCCAGCGTAAAGCTAACGTCCCTGTGTTGGCCGCGCGGTCGATTGCCCTAGATTGCCTGAATGAAGCGCATGAAGGCTGGATTCAGGTATATACCGATGCGTCAGTAGACAGGACAAAAAAATCGGCGACGGTCGCGGTCACCATTCCGGACATGGGCTACGACGTCTCAGGCAGAATTGACTTCGAGACCACATCCACGACTGCAGAATTAGTTGCCATTTGGGCAGCCCTTGAATCAATCAAAAATGTCTCACCTCCAGCGAAAGCTGTAATTCTCACCGACTCCAGGGGAGCCCTTCAGCAGCTTCAAAGACATGTAAAAATCACTCCATTATTGGCAAGGGTAGCATTCATGGCGGCCAACATTGAAGACCTTGGCTGGAAGTTGGCCTTTCAGTGGATACCTTCTCATGTTGGAATCCACGGCAACGAGAGAGCAGACGCACTTGCAGCAAGGGCACATGACGACCCGTCCCCAACATTTCTTTTGGATCGTTTTAACGAGGCTCACCGGTTAATCCGGATATCCCTCAGACAACAACATCCACACCGAGGAGTGGCGACCGGAAGACCTCCCGCTACTATTCCGCGTCGACTCCCACGTGCCGAGGCATCCTTGCTGCACAGGCTTCGAGCTGGATGTTCGTATACTTCCAAACGCCTTCACATGTACCACCGCAAGTCAGACCCGTACTGTCCATCTTGCGGTGACCCTGAAGACACAGCGCACGCTCTTCTTTTATGCCCAAGCCACGACCAGCATCGGAAACTTCTGATTCAGCGGTATGCGACGGCCGGCCCCTCCCACTCCAATCTTGAAGACCTTCTAAATCCAAACGGGACTCAAGGAGTAGCCGAGAAGGCCTTTCGTGCTCTCCTGGCTTATCTGCGCGAAAGTGGACTTTCAAGCCGGCTATAGCGTAATTACGCACTAATCAATTGTGCCAGATCTGTTTCCTCCACAAGGCACGGATGCCCGTTTAAACGCGGCTATTCAGAGTCACGCTACTCGCCTGTCAGCTAATCGATTCAACGCCCCGTTCAAACGCTTCAATCCTTCTTTCTTTTCTTTTTCTCTCTCTCTCTTTCCTCTCTATTCCTCCCATTCCCCAAAAGCTAGGTAGCGACTTGCCCCTGTATCGGAGGCCCACATTTCTCCTAGCTGCCCCCCTTCCCGACACCCCACAATAAACAAACAAACAAACAAACAACAGGACGTGCGTATAAGCAATATATTAGCCACCGGAATGCTGGTGAACCTCGAACACACACTACATTCCTTTCGACTGTTTTTTTTTTACTTAGTATCGTCGCTCGTTTTTGCTACCTCCTATGAAACAGAGAGAGAGAGAGAATAAACATTTATTGTGGTCCTTATTAGTCCAGGACGTCATCTATAAACTCTCGGCATTTTACTATATGTTTAACAAGCAAACTCCAGAGTAGAGTGCTGTGTGCGGGTGGGGGAGCGATCCATTCCTCCCAGCTGCTCGGGTGAAGTGTTTTCGGTATTGTTTTGAGGGTCTCTTGTAGTGCTTGTTGGTTGTGAGGGCAATCCCAAAGGATATGTTTATTATTAGGGTATCTGTGGCACTTTGCGCACTTCGGTTGACCTTCGCGTCCCAACAAATGATGCGTTATGTGTGGTGTGAGGAAGGTGCCAGTCTGGGCTCTTCGTACCAATGTAGGGTGCAGTCGGGTCAGAAATTGTGAGGGGGATGGGAGGGTGGTCCTGTTCTCTCTCCATTCCAACAGTGTGTTGGTTCTGTTGGTGTGAAGTGTCTTCCTGTGTATGTAAGGGTCGTATGTTTGTGGCCATGGAGTGGAAGGTCCCGGTTCAGTAATAGCTTCACGGGCGAGCTGATGGGCCAGCTCGTTGCCTTCGATTCCTGTGTGGCCTGGAACCCATTCCAATGTGACTCGGAGGTCTGGGTGGTCTTTCATGATCTTGGAAAGGTTAGTCTTTATATGAGGTGGTAGGTTGTTCTCTCTGAATGTTCTCAGGGCGCCCTGACTGTCAGAGCGGATTGTGATGTTTTGTAGCTGGGCGTTTTCTTCAATGGCCTCCGCGATGGCTTGCACTTCCAAGCTACTGGGTGATGGGGCCTCGCGGTGTTTTCGTTTTGTTTTCTTCGTAGGGCCGGCTGTG